ATACTTAGCAACAGAAGGGCGCCCTGTACGTTGGGCACGAAGTATAGGAAACTTGCATGGTTAAAAAGAAGGGCGCCGCCTACGTTGGGCACGACTTCCGCCTCATTTTTACAATGCGAGAACTCTATCTTGTATTTCTAGTATCTTTGGAAGCAGCCAATTCATATTCTTGACAGCAATTTGACCTCTGAAAGGTCATTTTTTGTCAAAAAACCTGCGCCTATGACAATTGAAAAGCGGCCGGAGTTCCCTTCTTTCGTTCTGCCGGGTAAAATCAATTACTTTAGGCGTCGTTTGTAGACTACCCTACTCGTACCATACCAACGTCCGCATGTCGCGACGCTAGAGTACTATTCAGCGTTTTTATTATATTTCTAGGTTTCCTATTTCTACGTTTAATCGGCTCATGTCTCAGCCACAATATTTTGAGGCCAATATTATTTACGAACCCAGTTAAAATTATTTACTAGCCTATTTCAACTTGCTAATTATTACATTTAGGCGACGTGAGCTGTGAGCTTCTTGTATGTCTGCTTAAATCAAATGTAATACTACCTACAACAACAACATCTAGTACCCCCTTCTATAGGGTGTAGTGCCAGTAGTAAATAGGTACATTCCTATCAAAGGCTGAGCAAAAGAGGCTAAACTAGTGGGGCCTAGTTACAAGCTAAGTTAGGGTTAGGTCCTACCTGCTAGCCCCCATCCCCCACCCCAGACTAGGCCCCTAGGTACCTAGGCACACAACAGTGACGCTTCGCATGCCATTGACTGAAATTTTGAAAAAAATTAAAACATGAAATTAAAATGGGACAGTGAGTATTAAAAAAATATTAAATAGGCCTAATAATAAATTAATATATCATGCCAACATTAATTAACTTGGCTTAAGACTTGTAAATTAATTAATATTAGATAATAATATTAATAATAATAACGACAATAATAATATTAATAACAACAACAATAATAATAATAATAATAATAATAATAATAATAATAATTAAATAACCATATTTAATTTCGCCATTAATTAACTTAGCTTAAGCCTTGTAATCAAGAAGCACCTACAGTACATACTATATTAGGCCTATAATTTTAACAACTAGGCCTCATTCATTCATTGGTACGCTGCTATTTTGGCAGGTCCTATGATGGCATCCTTTTTTTGGGCTGTCTAATCTCAGCTTTTCTGTCAATTTCAAAATAACTGTCACTCCGTGTCATATTTGATCAATGCTGTTTTTTCCTTCCTCTTTGCGCTTTCCTCTGAAAGCCGCCTAAAAACTGTTTTGATTAAGTGATCACATTCTCTTTGTACGGTACATGACCAAAAATCCAAACTAATCATGATAATAACCATATGTGTAGATCCCGGGGGATGGGGGATATATCCCCCCAATATTTGACAAGGGGAATGATCCATTGTATCATCCCCCCCCCCAATATTTTGACTATGTATGGGATAAAATGCTTTACACACTTCAAAAGACTGTCACAGAAATAATTTGCACTGTCTTATGCACTTACAAAGATGAACATTAGCATAATGTATTAATGTTGATAACAAAATTATTTTATCTGGTACCAATCTAAGCTCTTCTTTCCTTAGATGTTAGATGTGCTTGCAAAGAGGGCCACATTTCACACTGAGGGGTGTGTACGACATTAGTACAGTAATGTTATGTCAATTCCAAGAATATTTAAGATTATATCGGTTGATGAGGAATTTATTGATTAGGCCTATAATAACAAATTGCATCAATTTATTTTGCAAAAACAAGGTTTCCAGCTTCAGAGGGGGAACATCCCCTGTCCGCACAAGGGCACACATTGGCGCTAACACCAGGCGCGTAACAGGGGTCTCGGGTCAGAGTGGGTATATATTTTCCCGGTTAGTAATTTACCATACCCACCCCACCCCACTCCCCATATAGAAAACAATACGACATCGGGCTTATCTTATTTGTAATATAGGCCACACACGTGTGTTTGTAACTAAATATAAGCATTTTAATCATGGTTTTATTTATTACAAACGTATTCTTTCACCATCAATACACATTGGGGCCCTTCTTTTAGGTTAAAACGATCTATCTTAAATTTGTCTTTCTTGAATTTGGGACTATTATGTGTTTAAATAACTTAAAAGGATAAACCTAAAAAAGCCCTATAAAATGCGAGCAAAGCGCGCAAAATACTGTTGTGTTTGTTAATTCTAATTTCGTCGGAATTGATGAAAACTCCCTAAAATGTGCAATTTATAAAGGAAATTGACCTACTGTAACAAGAAATGCGCGCAAAGAATTTTAGAATTTTTTGCACTTTCAGAGGATGCATTTGTCAAGTGGTGGGGAAAGATTTTCCAAAGATGGATATTTTCCCCTTGTCCCCCGGTGTTTTTAGTTCTAATTTCGTTGGAATTGATCAAAACTCTCTAATATGTGCAATTTTTAGAGGAAATTAGCCCATGACAACAAGAAATGCGCGCAAAATTTGAGATTTTTAGGCACTTTCAGGGGATGAAAAGGGCATTTATAAAGGGGTGAGGAAGATTTTCCAAAGATAGATGTTTTCCCCTTGTCCCCCAGTGGTTACGCTATCGGGCAGCATAGATCAGAGGAGTTATGACAGTTTTTGAAGTGGAGAAGGGTTGCAGGGTGTTGTGAGTCTGGTCATTATGATATCTTCCTTTTTATTCTTGTCTTTCTTTTTCTCTTCTCTTTTTCTTTTCCTTTCCTTTTCTTTTCCTTTTCTTTCTCTTTCCCTCCCTCTCCCCTCTTTCTTTTCTCTTATTACCCGGTACGACGGCTTGGTCAGCCCGGTAAAAACCGTCAGGGGAGGGGCAGGTTCCCCCTGTCCTCCCTCCTCCCCTACGCCACTGATAATATCGATATACTTGGGGCCGAGTTGACTTGGGGCCGAGTTGACTTGGGGCCGAGTTGACTTGGGACCGAGTTGACTTGAATTCGTCATAGTTACTGTACTTACATAATTATTAAAAACCGTGGCCAACTAAAAAATAAAAATGTTCACAGTATGTAACTCAAATTCAAATAACACTTTTTATTATTCGTGCAGCGAAATTAAATATTACATATGTCGTTTTAAACGACCCATATGATTATATTAGCATGGTACTAACATCAATCATTTTCCCCCATACACTTAAGGCAGAATATTCTAGGTCAGTTAGGTGAACTGATATGAATAGGCATATGCATGCCCACTTCCCTTTCGCGAGTGGCAAAAGCAGTGTTCGCTGCTTGTGGAATATGAAATTGCCCGTGATGTGAAAGCTACGGTGTATTAAAAAAAAACAAAAAAAAAACAATGCCCGCGGTGCTTATAAACATTTTTGTGGCTTCAGTGCGGCGCTTATTCCAGAGCAGCGCTTATGAAAAATTCGAGCATTTACGGTACTCTTTGCTTATCGATATATTTGGCTTCTAGGCCTATGTTCTGTCACCTCAGCCCCACCATGGCAGCCCCATCTTGGTTGGAGCTGAAGTAAGAAAATGTATGATTATGGCACCTCTATTTGGCCTGAAATGGGACTTTCAGTCTTAAATTTGAATATAAGCCTAATTTTATTTTTTCTTCACTTTTAAATTTTGAAAAATTTAAGGAAGGTGTGCCCACTGAGTCCTCTAGAAATACTCATCATAAAAAGTTTTTCAATTTATCCTGGTAATCATAATTATGCCCGCCTATATATTTAGTTCGTGCAAATTAACATTCATAAAAATAATGATTTATTATCTACTATTCTATTCTATGAAGGTGCACCGCACCTGGATGAGTTTGTGCTTCGGTCGACATCATCAAGTCCTTATTTTAG